ATTTTGAATTCAGTTTCAAAATTTGTTTATGATATCATACATAGCGAGTTTTTCCACCAACTCCCTCTATCACCTCTTAAGTCCTACTGCTCTTTTGGCATACATTTAAAACTCGCCTTTAATTTTTTTGTTATTGTATTTTTTAAATCGTTTATTTGTTTTGAGAATTTCGTGCTGCTGCATGTTAAATTTTTATTTATTTACACCTTTTTTAGTGTATTTATATAAAAAAATATTTATAAATAAAATTTAAATAAATCTAGGACAATGGCTCAATGTTTCTGTTTTTAAACGTTTTATTCCTAATGGGATTTTAGGTGAGTATTTCAAGCTTAATAGAATGACTCATTCTATTATGATTATTTATAGGCCTTTGTTTACAAATTCTAAAGGAATTTTAGAAAAAAAAAATAAATAAATAAACAGTAAATAAAAACAGAGAAAAATACATTGATATAACTTTTTAAATTTTTTTCACAAAAAGCTTTTTTATTAAACTAGAACTGAATCCGAACTGAACTAGAACTGAACTAGAACTGAACTAGAACTGAACTAGAACTGAACTAGAACTGAACTAGAACTGAACTAGAACTGAACTAGAACTGAACTAGAACTGAACTAGAACTGAACTAGAACTGAACTAGAACTGAACTAGAACTGAACTAGAACTGAACTAGAACTGAACTAGAACTGAACTAGAACTGAACTAGAACTGAACTAGAACTGAACTAGAACTGAACTAGAACTGAACTAGAACTGAACTAGAACTGAACTAGAACTGAACTAGAACTGAACTAGAACTGAACTAGAACTGAACTAGAACTGAACTAGAACTGAACTAGAACTGAACTAGAACTGAACTAGAACTCAACTAGAACTCAACTAGAACTGAACTAGAACTGAACTAGAACTGAACTAGAACTGAACTAGAACTGAACTAGAACTGAACTAGAACTGAACTAGAACTGAACTAGAACTGAACTAGAACTGAACTAGAACTGAACTAGAACTGAACTAGAACTGAACTAGAACTGAACTAGAACTGAACTAGAACTGAACTAGAACTGAACTAGAACTGAACTAGAACTGAACTAGAATTGAACTAGAACTGAACTAGAACTGAACTAGAAAGGAAATACAACTGAACTAGAACTGAACTACAACTGAACTAGAACTGAACTACAACTGATCTAGAACTAGGAGCTAAAAATGAAGCTCAAAAACCTTTTATACAAAGCTCAGGCCTTTCCTCTAAAATTTTTAACCGACATTCTTGATATTCTTCATATTTAAAAAAAAAGACACATTCTTTTTACTTACCAAAACTTTTGTAAATCTACGATCTAATTCCTCAGCGGTAGGCATTGGCTGTTGACTCCTGCTCCTAACACTGGGTTGACGTACCGGATGATATTGAGAACTGCCACCAATGTCGTAACGTAAATCATTTTTATTGAAAAAACCACTGCCGTTACCACAATATCTATTGATTTGATGATGCTGTTGCTGCTGCTGATGTTGATAGTTCGACGAGGAACTGCAGGCCACCACATTATGCTCGTCGACCAGATTCGTATCGGCCGATGTGATGGCACGTGACTTAACCGATCCCATATTCGTGGTGGAATGATGATTATGATGTTGATGGGAATAGTGGCGGCCGTCACCCGAACCTATGGTTCGTACAGCAGCAATCGATGACGAGCCAACGTCACCGCTGCTGCCACCACTGTTATCCACAAAATTTAATGTTTCGTTGAGTGATGATACCGCCTCCCACACTCTCGTCTGGACAGTGCGGCAAATTGCTCGTGTTTTGGCCGGGCAACTTGATAGTTGCTCCTTGAATTCGTTGAATAGATCCAAAATTTATGTTTCCGAAAGGCAAAGGGGTCTTAATTTATACAAATTTATTGGCAGACAATGAATTTTTTTCTGTATTTCCTTGTATTAATTTGTTGTTATTTTGGCAGTATTATTTTGTTTTTGGTTTATATTTATTTCGTTTTCTTTCTTGCTTCGTATTTCTTTTGTAAAAAAGACTTTTATTGATATTTATTTTTGTATATTGTTTAACTTTAACTTTGTATTATTACACAAATATAATTAAAAAATTTAACACAACATGTTTAATCCGTGTTCAAAAGCATTTAAATTTGTACATTTTTTATTCCTCTCTCTCTCGGTTTTTCTTTTGATTCACCCAACTTACTCACTCACTCAGACACGATTAATCAAAATTTATTAAAGCCTGTATTGAATTTAACAAAAAAGAATAGTTTCTTTCTATTTAAATAAAAATTGATTCATTCTTTTTTATATAAAAAAAAAGCAGATGAATGGACGGACGTAGTGACAGACAGACAGTCAGAAACTTACAAATAATGGAGACATGACCAATCCCTATTGCGTTATACACAAATTCTCATAAATACACAAACATACATACATACATACGCATACAACATACATTTGTAAACAAATTACAAAATTCTGCTCCATGAGAGTAGAAAATTATGAATTGCACTCCCAAAATAGAATGACAACTTTAAGGTAAATACAGATATTAATGGGGAAATTAATAAGAGATTTTGGGGGTATTTAATTTCAGTAATTTGTAAAGTAAAATATTAAAAAATCTAAACAAAAACTTATTTTAAAAAAACTATTTTTTTATTTCTATTTGTTTAATAATAACAGTTTTTTTGTTAATAAAGTAAATAAATTTTTATTTACATTTTTGTTTTCCTAAAACAGGATATTTTTGTTTATAAAAATTGGCAACCTTTATTATAGCCGGCGCTCACATACATTTTTACATGCATACACATGTATAGTTTTTTTCAGCAAACTGCACTTTAGATTTTTTTTCTCCTTTTTCTTCTTCTTTACATTTGAACAAAAGTAAACAAACAATGTTGTCAATGTTACTGAGAAAATAAAAGGGCAAATATTACATTTAGAGGGGAGTGTAAGTCAAGAGAGCAAATTGGCTTAATTATAGCATAAAAATGGGGGGTTTTACTTTAACCTCGAAATTAATTTAAATTGTATAAAGAAATGAATGAAGAAAATATATAAAAGAATAATAATAATAATGAATAATTTTGTAGACAATAAATAGTTTTTGAAAGGTTTAGGGAAATAAAAATAGAAATGAGTTGAACACAAAAGTTTATGTTTAAAAAACAAGAAATTAGCTTTAACAAGGTTCAATACACCAGATTTTAGAAATTTGTACACTTTTTTGTAAAATTTGTTTCATTATAGAAAATTTTATAAGTTTTGAAATGTTTGCAAGTTTAAGTAAAAACTCTTTAAAAAGTACAACTGCAAAATGTTTGTTTAAAGAAAATTAGATTGCACTGACGGATAAGAAAATGAGAAGTTTTTAACCAGTTCAGATTTTGTTTCATTATTTTAATAGTTCTGAAACTTTTAAAATTTTAAGTTAAAACTTTAAAAACGTTATGACTTCAAAATGATTTTTTAAGAATATTTTTTGATGAATATTATTAACAAAAATTTCAAAATATTTCACTTCTTTACAAAAAATTCAACTGAAACGGTTTTCTACGCAAAAGTGTATTTAGAACAGCATTTCTATACAAAAATTGTAATTTTATTAATTTTTGTCCTCAGAAAATTATTATTAATTTGCGATTATTGAATTTTTTTTATTTTTCAGACAATAGGGGTAAATTACAACTTTGATAAGATGTTTATCATAGTTTAGTAATGCTGTAGGTAAAAAATAATTTAGTTAGCATAATTATTACCCTTAAAAAGTTATGCGGGTGCCTAATTAAGAAAAATGTGTTACTATTCCTTTAATAACGCTTAAGTGTTAAAACTATTAAGGCAAATTAAAATTTACGATACAAATTTCGTTTTGACAAGCTAATCTTGTAACAAAAAGTTAACATTTTATAACTTTAGGTAAAATTTAACATAATTTCCTGGAAAATTGTCCTTGTTTGTTAACACCTAGACTTAGGTAATAGATTTTTGTTAGTTTAGCAATTTTCTTTTAAATATCTTTAGAAACATGTGTTTTTATTAAATTATGGAAAAACCGAATTTGCAAATCAGATTTTCCTATTTTAGCCCTTATTGCCTGTTTTTCTTTAAGTATTTTTCACGACAAGTTGGCAACATTGTTTCTTTGCTTTTGTTGTTTTTTCAATTTCTGAGGTTTTTCTTTGCAGACATTTATATTTCTCTTCCCCCTCTTTAATAAAATTAATAATTTTTATGTCTGGGTGCATTTTTTTTAAGTTTTAACAACAACAACTTTCTTTTTTTGATAAATGCACAAATTATAAATACTTTTTGTTAAATTACGTGTAAATTATTGTAATACAAAGGTTTTGGTTTTGTTTTTTATTTTTAAAAAGTAAAATTTTGTATGTATTTTCTTTTTGAAATATGGGTTTAGCTTATTATTTTTAAATAAAATTTTACTTTTTTGTAAATATTTTAGGTTTATAAATAAAGTTTACTTTTATATCTTTTATTTTATTTAAAAATATGCAATTATTTTCATTAATTTATTTAAAAATCCGACAAATCACACTCGCTCGTAATTAAAAAACGGTCTTAACACGTACAAAACTAATTTCCAACTAAATAAACTCAACACAGCTAAAATCAGAGTTCAAAGCTAATGAAAAAATTACAACGGCGTTTTAGTGTTAATATAACAACTCCGACTTTATAAAACAAAACAAATAGGAAAACCATAAACATTTCTTTATTAATTGAATATAATATTTAAAATATAAAGTTTTATTTAGCTTATACTATTTTGTTAATATTTGGTCATTTTTAATTAAATTTTATGAGTTTAATCGTATTATTCTTGAAATTAATTTTACTAAGAAAATTTTCTAAATAATGGGCAACACTTAAGGGACTTTTTTTTGGTATTATAGAGTGGCAACTCTGTAAACACAAATATCCCTTTTCTTGCTACGAATGTCAAACACACAACAAACAGGTATAAAAATAGTTTGTCTTTTGTTGTGATACACACATTTTCAATTACAATTTCGTTTGATAAACAAGTGCTGCTGGAAAAATTAAAAAATGTCTACTCCCAGGAAAAATTTTAATTACAATTCACCTTACGCCAAGCCACAACAGCAATATCCCTCACAATCACAAGATTATATATCACTGGATATGGGTGGACCCACCAAAAACAACAATAATACTGCAAACGATTCTAACTTAAATGAAAAGACACCCGGGCGTTATAATGGCAAATTCTATCAGCAGCATAATTCCAATTATAAAGCCAATCGTAGACATCAATTTAACAATAATTATAATCAACACAGCAACCGGCAACAATTTAATACACCGCAGCAACAGCATCATCACCAGCGTTTTCAGCCTAGAAATTCTAATGAAAGGCAACATTTTCAACAAAAACAAAATGTAAGTTTGCTTTTCTAATTTAAAAGTAATAAAACTAGAAACTAATTACATATGTTTATTTTCTTTTACAGCAACATCATCATGCCAAAGCAAATAATCAATCTATAGAAGCTTATTGTCATCCCTCCATGCTAGAAGACCCTTGGTTTGAATTAATGCAACGTTTGCAGTCTTTGGAAAAAAGTAAAATCACCGTCAAAGATATGACACCTCCCAAAGACTCTACACCGCCGCCCGACTCGCATTCCTCAACAGAAAGTGATAACGACGAAGTCAACAGTGCCGCTAGTGATTAATTGTTGATCTGTAACAGATCTTGTTTAGTTTAGTTTAATAAAACAAACACAAAAAAACTTCATTTCTGTAATAAGTATCAGCATGTAGTATATTTTTATTTTCCTTTAACATTTTTCTAAAAGAAAAAATTATCCTGGGATAATTTTTTTAACCTTGTGTATATAAGTATCATGTTTTTAGTTATTTTACTTACAATTTTTATATTAAAATAAAGAAATTTAATAAAAAAAATTAAGCATAACATTTTAAAAATAAAAGAATTTTGAAAAAATATAGAAAAACTTGATTTCTTTTACAATAACAGAAAAAATTTGCATAATTTTGAGAAAAAAAAAAGAAAATAATAAGAAAAAACACTTCAACAACAGCGAGCATTTTAGCTTAGCTTAATAACTAGGTGGGTTGAGGTTATGAGTAGAAACCGTTTGGAGGCACTTTGTTATTTGCCACCTTTTTGATGTCTCTTAATATACATCTCCCAATCGCTGGCCAAACAATTGTAAATACTCATGGCAGCACGAGCATCTTCCACCGAGTTATGTTCGCCAGTTTGTATTTCCTTGCCCAAAATGGCCTGGGACAAACGTTTAAGACTGGGGGTACGACCATTGGCTACTAGACGACATAAAGGCTTATAGCGTGAGGTATCACGTATACAGCTATTAGGATGTTTTATATGTAAGACAGCCAAATCATTGCGTATGGCATGTCCTACCAAGATTTTGCCTGAAAAACAGAAATTTTATTGAAATTGTGTTTTCATAAAAAACAAATTTATCACTCACCTTGCAACATTTGTACCACCTCCTCTTGTACACTTTTGAAATCCTCAGCATTATCTATATCATGTGGCCTAATGCCCGAAACACTAGTACGATAATCAGTCACTTTCTCCTGCGGCTTAACGAACTTATCCAACAGCACCTCACCACGTTTATTGACAATTGAAACTCTTGCCAGCATATCATCCTGGCCATTGAGGCCTACACCCACCATTTCACAGTCCATGGATACATATTTCTGTTCAGCATTACGTCTCTTTTGTCTATATTTAGCTGATTTACTTAAAGGGGTTGTTTCCGCACTTCCCTTATTGCCGGCAGCTACATTTTCTTGTTCATTATTGGTTTTAGGTTTGTTTGTTGCGGTAGTTTTAACCACTGCTTCCCAATTTGAACCGGCCGCCTTGCGACTGGCTATGGGTGTAGTGGGTTTACGGGGGGCCACTTGTAATTGTTCCATGGAAGTGTTTAAAGGTTTCTTTTCCATTTTCGTATCGCCTCCAGCTCCTGCTAGTAAAATTTCTTTAGGTTCACACTTTTCCGCTGGTCCACTGCCTTCAGAACGTTTTCTTCTATTTTTTCGTTTTCTGTTTTTACATGCCGTTTTTGTTTGTTCTCCCTCTGGCTTCTGTTGTTGTGGTTGTTTTTGCGTTTGCTGCTGCTGGCTTTGTGACATTTGTTAAGTCTACCTGCCCTTGGAATTTTGTATATTTTCACTTTTTATATTTTGCTATTAAATTCTATTAAATATTTAACAAAATTTTTAGTTTTTCACTTTTTTATATTAAAATTTTCATAGATTTTTAATAAAATTGTCTAACTCCCTCAGAAACGTGTCTTGAAATTGTTGACATTTTATTTTTCTTTTTTTGTTTTTCTTTTTGTCGTTTTACTTTATAGTATTGCCATATTATAGGGTTAATGACATTTTTAAGAGTATTTCTTAAGGGTTGGGAAATTTTTGAAATTTTATGGGATTTTTCTGTTTATTTTGGAAAACAAAGGGGGTTTTTAATATAAATTATTAAAAATATACTTTTTCTTTAAATTCTCTTGTATTTTATAATTAATATGTAATAAAAACTTAAAATTTTCGAAAATTTTCAGCTATTTATGAATATTTATGAATTAAAAGTAGTAAACAGTTTAGATCTTTTCGAAAATTTAATGTTAAAAGGCTTTAAATTTAAATAAATAATAAAAAATTCAATTTTGTAAAAAATTTCTACTACATTTTAAATTTTTTGAAAATAAATATGTTTTTGAAATATCTGTTTAATATTAAATAAAACCCATTAAAACTTATCTAAAAAATAATACTTTTTATTAAAAAGTAGTAGGTAATTAAGTACTTTTTGAATAAATTTTAGAAAAAAATTTATATTCTATAAGCATTTATTTTTATACAAGGTATTTTACTCTCAAAACAAATAAATTCCTTTGTTTTTCAAAAAAGTAGTATTTCTACTACTATTTCAAAATAAAAAAAAAATAGTTATGATTTTGAAGTCACTATTACCTAATAAACAATTTGTATTAAATATTTTATGTAAATTATTAATTTTTGTTAAAAAAGTAGTTTCTAATTTAGTACCTTTTTAAGATTTTATGTTAAAATTATTATTTTCTTATAGTTTGAGTACTAATAAACTATATTGCAGAGAAAAAATTCATAAATTTGATAATTTTTCCAAAAAGTAATATTTCTACTACTATTTCAAAATAAAAAATTAGTTATAATTTTGAAGTCACTATTACATAATAAGCAAGTGGTATTATATATTTTATGTAAATTATTACTTTTTGTTAAAATGCAGTATCAAATTTAGTACTTTTTAAAAATTGTATGTAAAAGTTATTATTTTCTTTAAGTTTGTGTTCTAATAAACCATTTTCTATATAAAAATGTATTTAATTTTCTTGTTTTTGCAAAAAGTATTTTTTTCTACTACTATTTTATTTTAGTTTAAAAAATTTTTAAATCACAATAGTTTAGTTAAAGGACTATAGTATTATTTAATTTCCAAATTAAAACCACCATTTGGAATTCATGATGTATTTACTTAACATTTTGAAACTTTTAATTAAAAAAAACTTTATTTTTAAATTAAAAACTTTATTTAAAGAAAAAATACATTGCAAATTTATAAAAATAAATTTAAACAAAATCATAACATAAACAATGATAAAGAAAAATCAAGTTTAAACTTGTTAAACATGAATTTAAAGAGTTTTTTAAAATAAAAATGTTATAATATTAAACAAATATGGTTTAAAATTAAAATAATATCTGAAAAATAAAGAAAATTGTAAAAAAAGAATATTTAAAATTTTAAACAGAATTTCAAAGAATATTTTCTTTAAATTTTAAATTAAGCAAAATAACATTTGGAAAAAAATATAAAAAATTATTACAAAAAAATTTGAAAATTTTGAAATGTTGAGTAATTAAAAAAAATATATTTTTTTTTGCATTCTTAATATAGAATTAGTTTTGTAATAATACAGATTTAAAGATTTCTTTTATGTTTTTTTAAATCTATTGAATAAATCCTATAAAAAAACCTTAAAAAATTTCACTAAATCTTATATTTATTTAAATTTAGTAGATTTTATTAAAAAATATTGAATGACTTAAAACTAATTTATAATTAACGGTGGGTTTCTTTCTTTAATTAGGAAACAATTTCTTTATTTACTAGTCAGTTGTTAAAATTATTATATTATAAAAAAATTACACTATAGCTTACTTTAAGGCCTTTTTAAATATTGCAAATAACGATTTTTGACAAATACTTAAAAAATGTTTTAAAACAAAAATACTTAAAATTTATTTAAAAGAAATAGAGTTTAGAGAAATTTTAGGATTTTGTACAAATTTCGGCCATATTTTTCAAAAATTTATACTTTTTTCTATTAAAAGTTGTTTAAAACTTTCGTCAGCACGGAACACTCCATGAATTGTTTACATTTTTAAACAAAATTTCAACAATTTCCTTTAAATATTTTCCTAACCTAAAAAATCTTAACCTCAATTCTTCGCTATAACCCACAAATAAGTGAGTTTTTAATACAAACAGAAAAAACTGAATCCTTTAACTGTAAAATCCCTGACTTAATTAATTTTTTTTTTTCAAGAAAATTAAATTCCCTGCAATTTTTTCATAACCTCAAATAATTTCCTAAAATTTCCCTAAAATTCCATAAATTTCAAAAAAAGAAAAAAAAAGTTTGGCAGTAAATATCAGTCCATAAAATTAAAATTATCCTTAGTTGAAGGCGTAGAACATACCATAATCTCCGACAGAGGCTGCATTTCCAATTGCTGATTATCCGGCAGAGACTTAAGAGCCGCCTCACAAGAAGACAAAGAACTTTGTGAAGACATTTCATTGAAACCACTGTCGGTTCTATAGAAATTTAAACTTTTCTTGGTGGGTGTATTACTTAAAGTCTCCTCCGTCTTTTGTTTACTCTCTACCGCACCAAAACAGGCTGAAGTAATTGTGTTAACTGTGGGTTTTGTGGCAACAACAAATTGTTTTTTAGCTAAAATTTCCTTAATTTTCAATGACTGTGAGGTATCCAGCTCAGTTTCATCCTCATCTTGCAGCCAATTGGCTGAGAATGACTGTGATAGATTTTTGCGACTAGCCGAACGTCTTTTGCCTCTAGGCGTGTCCGATTGCGAGGAACTACAATTAGAAGAATGGGTAGAGAGTTGTGAGACCTGCATGTCATCCATATCCACCGTATTTTCCATTATATCCTCCGTATCTTCCGCAAGCGAAAAAATATCTGGCTCATTGTTCAATAAGTTAGTTTTAATTGAAATTTTACTATTTCTTTCTGGATTAGTGTTATTTAACGACTTGGAACAATTGACCTTTAAACGGCTAACCTTAATATTAAAACTATCGGCCGAGAATTCAGCTATGTTATCATGCTGTACACCGTTTAAGGGCGAAGAAGATCTTTCGGGTGTAAAACGTTGACTATCATCTCCTTCCTGGGAGGTAGTGTTACAGGTTAAATCATTTTTAGAAATTTCACTTATTTGTGTACGATATTGAGATCTATTGCTCTCGCCCAAAGGTTTTCTTCTAACGGGTGGATGTATGGGCGATAGCAGTTCAACTTCCTCAAATTCTTTGAGGAAATTGCCAAATCTAGATTTACGTTTTGTGGCACTTTCTGTCAAACATTCAGGAGACAAACTATCGGATGCTGATATAGGAGAAAGAGAGCCAAAAGAGCTTTTGTCTAAGGAGTCGGATAGTTTGCCCACTATGGCAGTATGTTGCAGGGAATGCAAGGATATGGGACTAGAATTTGATTGAGCACTAGAGTTGGCATGTTTGGAACGTTGTTTTTGTTTAGGTGTAGCTTGATTCTCACTTTCCAATACTACTATATTATGCATATCGAAAAGTTTACGCCTGAGAGAAGTATCTTTTACCTCACTGCTGTTGGAAAGCCAAGAGCGTGAGTTGCCTGATTTCTTTAATTCTTTATCAGCACCGGCCAAATGAGGCTGGAAATAAGGCTTTAGGGCCTCCTCTAAGGCTGGTGGTAAAATGGGCGGCAATGTCAGTTCGGTTTGGACAGCACAATCACGTATTCTGCGTCCTGGTTTGGATAAAGGAGTATTGCCATTGATTTCTGACAAAACTATGCGATGAGATCGTAGTGGACAGTCTATGGGGCTGGGCACAATTTGTTGCTCTTTAAAATAGGAACTAATGGCTGACTGGGCCTTAGCCTCCAGCTCAGGATTGGGTGAATCATGAAATTGAGTCTCATGCGGTTCTACATTTGCCGGTTTCAAACTGGACACCTCATCTATAGTCCACTCAAATTGGGTAGAACTCATTTGTGGTGTATTTGGTCTTTGGAACAAGGAAGGACTAAAATTTTCCATAAATTAACTAGTTTTCTTTATAATTACTATTTATACTCACCTGGCTATTAAAGGCAAATGTAATCTTTCCGCCAAGGCAGCCTCAAAAGGATTTTTCACTCTTTGATAACGCTTAGCCGGTGGCGTCTGTACCACCGCCATTGATATTGAATGCATAGAGTTTGAATTATTTGCTGCCACCAGAGAACTGCAAGTCGCAACCGAATAACTTACACTTTGCGCTTTGGGGGTTCTAGGATTTATTGACTTCCTCAAACATTTGGAATTTTTTGGCGTCATTTTCAATTGGCAGGGAGAAATGGACATTTGTCGTTGTGCGTTTGCTTGATAGTTGATTATAAATTTGTGTGTTTTCAATTTCTGCGGTGTTTCTTGTTCATCCAACTCCATTTTTGTTCTTCGAGTATTTTCTGCTATTTCTTAGGAAAAATCTGTGTTTTCTTGTAAAGATTTTCTTGAAAAACAGATGCTATTTTCTTTTGGCCGTTTGGGCGCCCTGTGTGAAAAACACAACACAACAAACGTTCAATTCAAAAAATCAAATAAAAATCAACTTTTTCTGCTTTTTTGGGACTAAAATAGAAATTTCCCTGTTGTTGGCTAGAGAGGGAGAAAACAGGGTTGTTAGCGGAGAAAAAAAAGATGCCAGGTATAAGGAGATTTTTTAAGACCAGCAGGAAAAGTTCAAATATTTTCAAAATAAATCTATTAGAACCTCATATTTTTTGTTAAAATTTAGTTTTGTATCATTAAATATATTTGGTTTGGTTGCTTTAATTATGAAAATTGTAGATTTTGAATTTTTTAAGTTTCTTTCCCAAACTCGTTTTGTTTTCCCTTTTATGTTTTAAATTACGTGCAGCAGGGTTACTGGGATATTTTCTTCATGACTTATACAAAAGCTAATATCTGTGAAACTGTTTAACTGTGCAACTCTGTTTTAGCTTTGACAGAAACCTTTGAATCAGTGATAAAATATGCAGCTAATTGAGCGCTTTTATGGAAACATGGGAAAATCATAAAAGTTCTTTTTAGAAAATTTTGATTTTGAGTGAAAATTCAGATTTGTTGTAAAAAATGATTTAAGTTAACAATCAAATTTTTAGTAAAAATCGGAAAAATTGTGTATCACAGTTTTTTTCTACAGAAAAAGCACTTATAACAGTTTTTTTTATGGAAAAATGTGAGTATAACAGTTTTTTCTACAGAAAAAGCGAGTATAAGAGTTTTTTATAGAAAAGAAGTGAGTATAACAGTTTTTCAATAGAAAAAAGTGCGTATAACTGTTTTTTTATTGAAAAAGTGCGTATAACAGTTATTTTTATAGAAAAAAGTAAGTACAAAAGTTTTTCGTCAGAAAAAGGTTCTATGACAGTTTTTCCTATAGAAAAAAGTGTGTAGTACAGTTTATCTATCGAAAAAAGTGCGTATAACAGTTTTTTCAACAGAAAAAAGTGTGTAAAACAGTTTTTGCTATCGAAAAAGTGCGTTATAAAAGTGAGTATTACAGTTTTTCTACAGAAAAAGGTCCTATAACAGTTTTTCTTATAGAAAAAAGTGTGTATAACAGTTTATCTGTAGAAAAAAGTGCGTATAATAGTTTTTTCTACTGAAAAACATGCGTATAACAGTTATTTCTATAGAAAAAAGTGCGTATAACTGATTTTTCTATAGAAAAAGCGCGTATAATAGTTTTTTCTATAAGAAAAAGTGGGTATAACAGTTTTTTATAGAAAAAAGTGCGTATAACAGTTTTTTCTATAGAAGAACGTGTGTATATAAAAAAGGGCGTATAACAGTTTTTCTATAGAAAAAAGTTTATCCTATTCTATAGGATTCCTATAGAAAAATGTCCATATAATAGTTGCTCTTATAGAAAAACTCCGTATCATATTTCTTTCTATTGAAAAAAACCCTTTAATAATATTTTTATAAAAAATACAGTTTCTTTCAATTGGAAAACTTTCAGTATAACTGTGTATAACAGATACTTCATAAAATTAAGGTTTTTTTTCAAGAAAATTATCACTATAACAAATTTTTCTATAAAAAATTCATATATAATTTTTTTGGTTTTAAAATAGCGATTTTCCTTAACACAAAAGTTGTTCACATTGTTAAACATCTGTTTGCTTACATTGCCACTGTTAATATTTTCAATACATTCTCACATTGGCAACAATTGGTTACAAACTTAGCTAAGACACAAATATTCACAAATATGACAGCTGTTTTGGAAATTTTACTGAGGCTTAGCAAAATTTCCAATAACCTTTTTTATATGAACTGAGCATATACTACTTCTAGGCCCAAAAATTATAAAAAATCCTCAAATTTGACGAAATTCCTGAAATCTCTCCCCACGAAAATCTGTCCACAAATAAAACTTAAAATCCCCAATTCGAGGACAAATCCCCACATCTGGCGACACTGTTTCCCACTTCCCCTTCATTAGCACAGCATTAAACAAAATCATACAAATTTATTGTAGTCAGTTCTTGTTTAATATTGGTGTCGAATTGTTGTGTGTCCGCGCTCGTGTGTTTATTGTTCCGTTCGTATAATTTGTTATTATTGTAACACACTAAAAAAGCAGCAACAAAAACAAAATATTCACGTTTTATTTAATATTTCTTGTAAAGTGTGTGATGTGAGCAAGTGTGCAGCAATGTTTTGTTAATTTTTCGTGGCGGTAGCTAAATTATTAATAAATAATAATTACAAAAGGCAATTTAAGAAAATTTATACAAAAAAGCAAAGAAAATAAATCATGCAAAATGCAAAAGTATTGTTGTTTTGTGTTGAAATGAAATAAAGTTTGAAACGAAATTTAAGAAGCAGAAAAAAAAAGAAAGTACGAAAATGGTTAAGAGAAAATAAGTGAATGAATATGATCATTTCTTAGACAGCAACAACAACAATAACAACGACCAACATAAAAACAACAGCTGCAGCAACAACAACAACAACAGAGCAGCAGCAAAAACACAAATAACGTAGAGAACAAAAACAAATGCAGGCAGCATAAATTGCAGTTGAAGTGTAGTTGCATTATACATTAAAGAAATAAAAAAAATTAAAGTAAATTAATGAAAAAATCTAAAAAGCAAATAATTTGGTGGAATTTTATTGCTATAAATTACAAATATTATTAATACAAAAAAGCACTTGTTGCTAAATTTGAAACAAAATAATAAAAAAAATCAACGAAAAAGTTAAAATTTTGTGTGCAACTAGAGTAATTGGTTGTTTGTTTGTTGTAATGTGTTTGAAAATTTTTGTCCGTTCGTTAATCAGTGAAGCGTTAATTAAAACCGAAATAAAACAAGTCTAGTTAAATCTTTAACTACAGGCGCAGCAGCAGGCGAAAGTTTTTTAACTTATATTTTTTTCGTTCGTGTGTTTGTAAAATGTTTGTAAAACAAATTTAACTCTTTACGTGCTGCAGCAGCATTATTAACATATTGGTACTTAAACAGGGATGGAAGTTGTGATATAAATAAACATTTATGTAATATACATACATATTTTGATAGGTTTTTCAACAGAAAATTTTGATTTAATGTGTTTTCTATAGAAAAGTGGTTTGTATAACAGTTTTTTCTATAGCAAAAATCATATAACAGTTCTTTTTATAGAAAAAATATCATATAACAGTTTTTACTATAGAAAGAATACGTATAACAGTTTTTCCATAGAAAAAGTGGGTATAACAGTTTTCTATAGAAAATAGTGCGTATAACAGTTATTTCTATAGAAAAAAGTGTGTATAAAAGTTATTTATGTAGATAAATTTGTATATAAAGAGCTTTTTCTATCGAAAAATTTGTGTATAAGTTTTTTCTATAGAACAATTTGTGAATAACAGTTTTTTCTATAGAAAAATTTTTGAAATAATTTTCATAGAAATAACAGTATTTTAAAGACAATTTCTGGTATGACAGTTTTTTATGAAGAAAAATTTCAGTATAACAGTTTTCTCTACATTTTTTTTTCAGTAAAAAAGTTTTTCTAAATAAAATTTCCTGTATAACAGTTTTTAATGAAAAGTATTACACTTTTTTCTATAGAAAATATATTTATAAAACAGAAATTTTTCAAAAAATTAAAAAAAAATCAGTATAACACTTTTTTTCTAAAGAAAATTTGGGATTATCAAGAAAATTTAAAGAATAACAGTTTTCTCTATATAAATCATTTCAGTATAACAGTATTTCTATATAAATTTTTCCAGTATTGCTGTTTTTTCTGAAGAAAATGTTCATTATAACAGTTTCCTATAAATATTTTTTCCAGTATAACATTTTTTTAAGAAAATGTCTTTTATAACAGTTATATCCATGAAAAGTTTTCAATACTTTAGTTTTTCAATAGAAAATGTCTTATACATATGTATGTATATCAGTTTTTTTTATAAAGACATTTTTAACTATAACAGTTTTCTCTGTATAAATTTACAGTATAAATTTACTGTATAAATTTTTCATTATAACATCTTTTCTAATAAAATTGCTTGTATAACAGTTTTTGATAAAGACTTTTTAAGTATAACAGTTTTTTCTATTTAAATTTTACAGTATAACAGCAATATAAGAAAATTTCTTGTATAACTATTTTTCCTAAAGGAAATTTTCATTATAACAGGTTTGTGAAGATAAATATTTCCAGTATAACAGTTTTTCTAAACTAAATTTCTTATATAACAGTTTTTTTGAAGAAAACCATTAGTGTAGAAGTTTCCTCTATGTAAATTTTTCAGTATAATAGTGTTACTAAAGAAAATTTCTTGTATAACAGTTTTATTCCATAGAAAATTTTAGTATGAAAGTTTTCTATACATAAATTGTTCAGTATAACAGTTTTTCTAAAGAAAATTTCTTGTATAACAGTTTTTTTTATAAAGAAAATGTTCGGTATAACAGTTAATAATAGTATAATATTTTTCTATAAGAAATTGTTTGTATAAAAGTTATTTTTTTTATAGAAAAATATTTAAAATAGTCCTCTGTATAACAGCTTTTTATTAAAGCAGCATTTTTCTCTAAACTCCTTAATCTAACAGTAAAAATAATACTTCAGTTTCCATCCCTGTTACTTACACTAAAACAATTGTCAAACGCTTTTTTCTACTTATAAAGAAAACAACAACAGCAAACAGTAACTTATAATAACAACAATTCTTATTATTATCATCATTATTAACTACAACAACAACGAATATAATAAAAAAAATTATACAAATTTATTTAAAAAATATAAAAAAGTTTGTTTGACCAGTTGTTTTTCTTTTTCATCTGATTTGTTTGTTGTTGTTTTGATTAGTTGCAGAGTGTTTGTCTGTTTGTGTTGTTTTGCTTTCAAAATTCATTTTAATTCATCTAAGTTGTTGTTTTTTCGCTAGTGTGGCTGTGTGTTTATTCGTTTGCATACCATAAACATTTCCAAAAGGTAAGTGTTTTTCTTTTCCTTTTTCTTCTTTCATTAATTTAAGTTTTATGATTTTTTATTTATTATTTATTTTCTACCTTCTTGTTGTTTTTTACCTTTTTATGTGAGTTCAATTGTTTGT